CATGTGACTCGTTAGTGTTACAAGGTTTCAGGTGTGAATGGGGAGCAGGTCTGCTAAATTTGGTGTTATCACTCTCATTCTCTCATACTGGTTACTGGAAGTTCAACATGGCACCTCATGGCAAAAAACTCTCTGACGATCTGAAAAAAATAATTGTTGCTCTACATAAAGATGGCCTAGGCTATAAGAAGATTGCCAAGACCCTGAAACTGAGCTACAGCACGGTGGCCAAGACCATACAGTGGTTTAACAGGCCAGGTTTAACTCAGAACAGGCCTCGCCATGGTCGACCAAAGAAGTTGAGTGCATGTGCTCAGCATCATATCCAGAGGTTGTCTTTGGGAAACAGATGTATGAATGCTGCCAGCATTGCTGCAGAGGTTGAAGGGGTGGGGGGTCAGCCTGTCAGTGATCAGACCATACGCAACACACTGCATCACATTGGTCTGCATGGCTGTCATCCCAGAAGGAAGCCTCTTCTAAAGATGATGCACAAGAAAGCCCGCAAACAGTTTGCTGATGACAAGCAGACTAAGGCCATGGATTACTGGAACCATGTCCTGTGGTCTGAGGAGACCAAGATAAACTTATTTGGTTCAGATGGTGTCAAGTGTGTGTGTCGGCAACCAGGTGAGGAGTACAAAGACAAGTGTGTCTTGCCTATAGTCAAGCATGGTGGTGGGAGTGTCATGGTCTGGGCCTTCATGAGTGCTGCTGGCACCGGGGAGCTACAGTTCATTGAGGGAACCATGAATGCCAACATGTTCTGTGGCCACAGGACAGTATTCCAACATAACGACCCCAAACACATTTCCAAGACGACCACTTCCTTGCTAAAGAAGCTGAGGGTAAAGGTGATGGACTTGCCAAGCATTTCGCCAGACCTAAACCCTATTGAGCATCTGTGGGGCATCCTCAAATGGAAGGTGGAGGAGCGCAAGGTCTCTAACATCTGCCAGCTCCGTGATGTCATCATGGAGAAGTGGAAGAGAACTCCAGTGGCAACCTGGGAAGCTCTGGTGAACTCCATGCCCAAGAGGGTTAAGGCAGTGCTGGAAAATAATGGTGGCCACACAAAATATTGACAGTTTGGGCCCAATTTGGACATTTTCACTTAGGGGTGTACTCACTTTTGTTGCCAGCGGTTTAGACATTAATGACTGTGGGTTGAGGTATTTTGAGGGGACAGCAAATTTACACTGTTATACAAGCTGTACACTCACTACTTAACATTGTAGCAAAGTGTCATTTCTTCAATGTTGTCACAGGAAAAGATATAATAATATATTTACAAAAAAAGTGAGGGGTGAACTCATTTCTGTGAGATACTGTGTAATTCATGTAGCATTTACTGGACGCCATCTGCCCTTAGCATGCAGATAGGGGGATGTGCTTAACTGAGAAAGCCCCTCCTCCAGCTGAAAGTTAAAAAAATGCTTAAGGCTCCTGGGATATATTACATCATTTGCCCAGGCCAGAAATCAGGAACCAACTACACAACAAGAAAAATAAATTTAAGCAAGTAAATAAAGTATACGTCCCTATCTATTTACTAACGTTAGTTGATTGAGAGAGTTTAGTTCCGCTTTATTTATGACAAGCACAGTTTTACTTGTTCTTACAGCAGATTTTGATTGTTACAATTTCAATATATCATTTGAATTGTTATTTGTTTAGATACTTTTTAAACATAGTGTTAATTTAGTTTGAGAACAATTGGAGTGCTGGGTTTTACAAGTACAGCTTTTATGCCAGCAAAAACCCTGGGCTCCGGCAGCACAGTTTAATTATGAGTTAAGATCTGAGGAAACAAAAGGTTTGTTTTCTCCAAATCAGTCACAGACCCTTGAAACCTCAGTCCTTTTAACAATGATGTCTGCTGTACTTTACTGAATTTCTTTTACTCCTCCACAAAGAATAGGGCATCTTCCAAAGAAGCAAACACTAAAAAGACATGTGGTGTACAAACCAGAAGCAAATAATTGTCTTGTTAAAGTCTAGTGTATTGTCAGAAATATTTAGAGCACTTTGAACTAATAAAAAAGAAATAATTTTTTTGTGCTCACGTAACATTTTTGGACAGGAATGCTTTAACTATATTGATCTGTTGAGCAAAGATCAGTTTGAAGGTAAACTGTTTGTTAATGAGTATCTGTAGAAAAATGATGAAACGGTTTCCGCTTTACTATTACAGGCTGACAAATGTGACTCGGGTAGAATATATAATGAATCTTTTGAGAGAATGTAGGTGGGAAAAGGACATTTAAGTTGGCGGGTCTGATATGACCTAAGGCTGAATAATCAGATAATGGGGAAAACAGGCAATAGGACATTGACCATCCTGTAGATATGGAGACAATTTGCACATCTAAAGCTCTGACAAAATTCACTGCCTCTTCAATGTACGCAAACAGTAAGAAGTTTGTATGGATCACAATGGATTCCATAGTGACTAAAATTGTGTGGAACATGCAAATCAGGTAAGTCTAATAATTTAACTTTTTTTTTTAATACAAAAAAGCCTTCAGATTTGTTGAAATGTAAAATACTTAAGAACTACATTTACTGCAATATTTCAAGCTGGGATCAAATACAGGCAGATTTTAAAGCTGAACTCCCGCCACAGACACAAATTGATAAACGTTAAAAAATTTGTGAGGTATGTTAAATGCTTAGCTCCTTCGTCTGCACTGGATAATGAATTAATTTGTACCTGCCAGATATTACACCCAGCTCTATACTTTCGAGGCTCTGACTGTGAGAGCTGTGGCTTTCATACAGTGAAGGGATCTTGTTGTATATGTTTTTCTTTCCTCATATCCATTCATGGAACACCTTGTATTTTGTTCACAGAATTGTATTGTATTTTGTTCTGTGAATGGCAGAAGTGCAGATATTTTTTTTGTCCTGGGGGATTCAGCTTTGTCAAATTATAAGGCTTAGACGCACTTAGGGCACACAGAGGAGAGAAAAAGGTGGGGTGTGCAATGGGCTGTGGGTGTAACAAAATCGTGCATAAAACTTGTGCCTACATACAAAGTGCAGGGGTCACTATGTAATTAACAAAGTGCTGGTTTCAGGTGTAACATACAATTGGATTCGGATGTGTGCAATGTAAATAGTGTAGGGGTCAGGTATAGGAAAAGTAAATAGTGCAGGTGTCAGGTGTATGTAATGTACAGAGCGTAGTTGTCGGAAATATATATATAGCACCCCCTATGATTCATTTTGCCACCATCCATTTATGCCTAGCACAGCAGTACCCCTTATTCACACACACACACACTGCCCACATAAACAAAAGCACGCACACAGGTAAACAATGTATACACCTGCACATAGAAAGCAGGATAGCACACTTAAGGATGTATGCATATATAAATATATCCAGGGAAATACAATGTACAGCCCAAATTAAAATGGTGTGCAAATAAAATTGATTTATTAAAAGCAAAGTCAATCAAAAGCCTACTAGTGGAAATCCCTGTCTCCACTACCATAGCTGTCACCACCCCTCATATAAAAATAAAATCCCTGTAGGGCAGGTATACTCTGTACCAGTTATTCCATACACTCCAGTGGACTGATAGCGGCATGAAGTTGGTGGAGTTCCTCACTTCAGCCATGTATTAGCACCCAGCCTTTTTGTTTTGTACATACTATACTGTGGCATCCATATACACACTGTATACACATGCATAGCAACAAACACTGCATATAATATATATATATAGATATAGATATATATCTATATCTATATCTATATATATATATATATATATATATATATATATATATACACACATATATAATCTCTTACTCCTCTAGTGAAATGGCTGTCTGCTTCTTTTGCTGTCCTGCTGAAGGACAGCATGGGGGAAGTGGTGCTGAGAGGGAGTGTCAATGCCATTTAGCTTTTTTCCCCAAACTCAAAGCGCCATCATTGCAGGCTTACAGACGCAACAAGTGATTACATGGCTAGAGCAATCTGACTCCAGATCTGAATATGTGAAAGCATCTTACAAGTTATTAAAACTGGATATAACAAGCGCTTTAATTGCAATGTTTACAATGCCTTGAGCTATAGAACATACACTATATTGCCAAAAATATTGGGATGCCTGCCTTTACATGCACATGAACTTTAATGGCTTCCCAGTCTTAGTCCGTAGGGGTCAATATTGAGTTGGCCCACCCTTTGCAGCTATAACAGCTTCAACTCTTCTGGGAAGGCTGTCCACAAGGTTTAGGAGTGTGTCTATGGGATTGTTTGACCATTCTTCCAGAAGCACATTTGTGAGGTCAGGCACTGATGTTGGATGAGAAAGCCTAGCTCACAGTCTCCACTCTAATTCATCCCAAAGGGTTGAGGTCAGGACTCTGTGCAAGCCAGCCAAGTTCCTCCACCCCACACTCGCTCATCCAGTTTGGAGGTCTTTAGCTATTGACTCTGCAGACAGTTGGCAGCATCTGTGCACTATGCGCTGACCCCGCTCTGTCATTTTACATGATGTTGTTCCCAGTTGCTTCCACTTTGTTAAAATACCACTAACAGTTGACCATAGAATATTTAGTACCAAGGAAATTTCACAGATGAACTTATTGCTCAGATGGCAAACTATCACGGTACCATGGTTGAATTCACTGAGCTCCTGAGAGCGATCCATTCTTTCACAAATGTTTGTAGAAGCAGTCTGCATGCCTAGGTGCTTGATTTTATACATCTGTGGCCATGGAGGTGTTGGTACATCTGAATCCATTGATTTGGAGGGTTGTCCCCAGGGGCGGACTGACAACTCATGGGGCCCCTGGACAATAAGGGATCATGGGGCCCCTGTGTCCTTGCCCAAACTCAAAAAAGCCTATGAAAAAGGTACCAGGGGCATCTTATGGGGCCCCCTACTGACCCCGGGCCCTCGGGCAGTGCCCGAGTTTCCAAATGGTCAGTCCACCCCTGGTTGTCCCAATACTTTTGGCAATATAGTGTATTTCACACACACAATCTGGTAAGAGATATCTGTTAAAAGGTTATTATAATCACGATCCGGATTACTGTGCTTATCTGATTAAATGTCCCTGTAGGTTCACATATGTTGTCAAAATAATAGGTCCTTTCTAATGCCACTGAAGTGACATCAGATTAGCAATAGCAAAAATGACATAGGGTCCTTCACACAGGCTTTGTCAGCAGTGCTGGGACAAGATCATCCAGTGACCAGGGTAAGGATGCCAAACTGTGCCTCCCCCCCACGCCGAGCAGTCACTCACTTGTCAAAATCACTGCCGCTGTCACTACTCTTGCCCGCCTTGTAACAGAAGGAAGATGCCCCCATTCCTACAGTAAACCATTGCGACCAGGAAAGCTGCTCACCCTTGTCCTGGCCTTGTTTGTCAGCTTTGTTCGGCAAGGGGTCCGTGAGCAGATTTCCTGTTGAATCGAAGCTGAATGGGATGGTTGTCAGTTTTTTTTACTTCGTTGCCATTCAGTTTGTGTCCACATTTTGACAGCAAACTGTCAAAAAACTGCTTTTTGAATGACAGTCAAATCCTGATGATGTTTGTTTACTATAAAACTTACTCTGCCTGTTCTCATTACAGCTGACTTTCTTTCTCTTCTTGTTGGTATCTCTAACTCTTTTTGCTGTCTCTTGGTACACAATCCATGCAGATTTAAAGCATATTCCTTTAGAATATGCATGTGATCACTTACTGTTTTCACTCATGCTTAATGTTTGCAGGCACTTTTTTATATTTATATTTACTCTGCTCCGAGTATGACAAGTATACACCTAAGGCCTTTTTCCCCCTTTTTTCCTTTTGCCAATTTGTATTTTTCTCCTTATTTTTCCCTCATTTGACCCTTCTTGATGCCTCTTAATTTTGTATGGTACATTTCATAGTACAATGTTCATATCTTTAACATACAATATTGTCCTTTATTGATGCTTATAATGGACATTCATACTTATTCAGCAACTGTTTGAAAGTAATGCTATACCACCCTGAACCCAAAGCTCATCCTATTCAATATGAATGTAAACAAACAGCAGCCTATACAATATTCCGCATTAGTGTTTACCCACGCATGCGCATACAGCACTTCTCCCTGAATGTAAAAGTGGTGCACCATATGCATCACTGCAGAAGCCAACAGCACCTGATCACAACTGTGTACAGACATGCACTTGTAATGGCAGCTGTACATGGCACATGTGGCTCCCTGAGTGCACCAGTGACTTTACACCTGTAGCGCTATCCCCTTGAGAGCCGCTGGTTTTGGGTCAACCTTTACTTCCTGCACAGCCAGGCAACACGCATTTTCCAGACACAAGAAAAAGTCTATGGGCATGGTTTTTAAGATTTATTCATTTACCTTGGATAGGGTAAATGGGTTATGGGATGCCCAACTTGACTGAGGAAAAACAAAATGAGGACAATTTCTTTCTCTAGAATAGTGTAAAATGACAGACTTTTGACTGCGTCTTTAGCAAAGTGACAAAACAAACACAATACCAGCCCACCTGGCCACTGTATCTGATCCTAGGACAAGGGCTTGGGTAAGCTATAAAATGTCCACTGAAGACTTGCCAAGAACAGACTTCTCCCTTTTAGGCCCTAGGGGTGTAGAGGTTCTCACACTGTCCTTGTCCTGCAGCTATGGATAGAACCACTTTCAGGCCTTTACGCTGGGCTGGTTCTTTTTCCAGGCTATGCAGGCTGTCCTTCCCCGGAGGACTTCAAGGCAGTGGAGCTCCCTCCTTCAGCTTTCCTCTTTCCTCCAGCCTGGAGGCAGAATCCCCTTTCTCTGGGGCCCCCTACCAGGCTACCCAGCAGCATTTCACTCCTCCATCTTCCCTTGCTGGCCCGGCTCTGTCATATTTATGGGCCAGTCTGACATACTGCCAGGCCCCCTGCCTTGGATTGGTCAGCCCTCCCATAAATATGCAGATAAGCCTCTCCTCACATCTTCCCACTGACTTCTAGAAGCTTCTCCAAGCTTCTAGAACAGGGTGAGGTACCAGAGGACTGACCTGTAGAGCCCTTCAGCTTAACCTGAAGTAACTCTCTGTCTAAACTCAGGCTTCTAGCAAGCCTCTAACTACACTCAATAAACTATGTATACTAGAGGGCCCTACACACCTCAGCACCAAGGCCAGACTTGGAAGTGCTGGGGTGGGCTTTTCCTCCCAAGATTTTAGTAGCACCCCACATGGAACAGTGACTTTGCTATCAGCATGTAGATGGGCTGGAGGCAGCGCTCAGCCTTGGCAGTGCCAAGTTGGTATGGCTATACAGTGCTGTGCCCCTATTCACCTTACTGCATCATTTGTTTTCATGGTGCAGGGGGATGGATCAGGATGCACGGCATCACTCATTGCTATTTGTGAAGGGCGAACCCTTGTTGTTAGGAGAGGGGGGACTCTGTTGTTTTTGGGGGAATAGGGAACACTCTTTTGTGATGGGAGGACACTCTGTTGTGATGGGGGACCCTGTTGTGATTGTGGAGACTCTGATTTGAAGGAGGCAATGTAATGTGAAGTGAGGGCTGGAAACTAGTGTAAAGGGGAAACTCCCCCCATTTTGGCACTCAAGGAGTGAGTGACATCATCATCCACTGCAGATGTTAGTGTCCTTCAGCGTGCTCCCAGCACAAAGACCGGGTGTCACTGAGAGCCCCAGGTCCCATTCTAACGATCGGGATCCGAGACTCTCGATTCTGGGTCACATGATCGCTGTGATAGCCTCTGATTCGCTATCACAGTGATCAGTCACTGTGAAGCCCGCCCCCTTGTTTTTTTTCTCTCTGAATGGAGGAAAGAGATACATTGTATCTCTATCTCTCTTTGCAGAGAGCAAAAAAAAACAACTGTTTGTAAAAAAAAAAAAAAAAAAAAAAAGATCAATAAATAAATATTATAAAGAAAAAAAACGAATAAAGAAAAAATACCTAGATCAAAGTTTGAACTAGTTCAGTGCCAGGGTTAGTGTTTGGGTCAAAGGTCAGAGTCAAAGGTCAGGGTCAAAGTTCAGGGTTTAAAAAAAATTGGTATCAGTGTCAGTGTAAATGAGTTTTAGGTTAAAAAGCAAAAAAAACAAAAACCAAAATGTGCACTATTGTTTCTGGGCTGTACTACAGGTACAAACAACAAATAACAGACACATATATGGCATCGCTGCGACTGTCAAGAGCTGGAAAATTTATTTTGGGTTGTTCTTTGGTGGTAGGTTATGGTACTAACAAGAAATACACAGCTAAATTGTAAAAAAAAATTATTTTTTTTTTTTAACTATTTTGGGCCAGGTTTCCTTTGATAATAGAAAAAAAAATCAGGAGATATCCATTATTATTTACCACCAAATGAAAGCCCAATTTGTCCTGAAAAATAAAACGCGGTATAATTCGCCTGGATGTACAAAGTAGTTGTTATGATATGTACGGTTTCACTAACACATGTCAAAGTTGTAAAATTTGACTTAGGCTTTAAGATTTGTTTTACCCTTAGGCGTGAAGGGGTTAAGGAATAAGATTAAAGGTGGGCCTAATATCAGTGAGTCCTGTGCGGAAGGCCTGCTAAGGACACAAAGTAGTAAGAGTTCAGACAATATCACTGACAAGTGTGACAAATGGAGGCTACAGATGGGCTGCAGCCAAGTATGGGATTGCATTTTGTAGGGATGTTGAGACAGAGTATCTGTCTGTGAAAGAACAGCCCCCTTGGGGAAAAGGAAGATGTTACTGATGTCAGGGGTTGTATGATTTCCGGCATTGAATTGTTGGCTCACAAAGCCTGAAGTAGACAAAGGGCTGCCAGCCTGTGGTGTTCTTTATCTGTAAATACAATGGGCACTTCTGCCTCCTAACAGCAGTACTGTATGGCCAAGACTACAATAAATCTAACACAGGAGCAGACAAGCAATAGCAAGGAGGAAATAAAGGATCTTTTATTAGCTTTTTATTAGCTTCAACTATTAAAGCATATCTAAACCCAAACACAAAAATTGAATATATTGCAGCTTACCAGTCCTGAGGTTTGATGGCTGCATTTGTTTTCTTTTTTTAAGTTAAATATATTTTCTGCAAGTATATAAAAATACCACTAAAAAAAGTTAGTTACCAAAGAAATGTTCCAATAAATACAGCACTTCTATTATACCAACATCATTGCGCCAATGTAATAAAGAGAGGAAATACACTCACTGGATGCTGCTGTTATTAAAAAACTCAAAATAATAATAAAAATGTGAAAAATATACAAATCCCAAATAATAGCGCAAACCAAATCACACAACTAAATATAACCACCACTAAATAAGTGCATTTTAATAGTGCAAAAAAAAAAAATCAATAAATAGGGAATCTCAATATAGTCCATATAAACATGATCCTCAGTAAATGAAGTAATGAGATCCTCCTTCATATTGAGATTCCCTATTTATTGATTTTTTTGTTTGCACTATTAATATGCACTTATTTGGTGGTGGTTATATTTAGTTGTGTGATTTGGTTTGCGCTATTATTTGTCATTTGTATATTTTTCACATTTTTATTTTTATATGAAAATACCAGTTGATCCTTTCAGTAAATTTCAGTCCTATTTGCCTTCCCAGTTATCTTTTATACAGTAGACTATGACACCTCCACCCTAAGAAATGGGAAGGAGGGGGAGATGTAGTCCAAATCAGGAAAGTAACCTAGGGTGCTGACAATGCAACATATACATGTCATCATAGGACAGAAATTGTGTTTTTGGCAGAAACCCCAGTTAAACAATAGGGGAAAATCCTGAAAAAGGGAAAATAATGCAGTCACCACTGCTAAAGAGTTATACGCTGCAATCGGGCAGACTGACAACTCATGGGGCCCCAGACAATAGGGGATCATGGGGCCCCTGTGTCCTTGCCCAAACTCAAAAAGCCTATGAAAAAGGTACCAGGGGCATGTCATGTGGCCCCCTACTGACCCCAGGCCCTTGGGCAGTGCCCGAGTTTCCAAATGGTCAGTCCGCCCTGGCTGCAATACATCTTTTGATATTTT